GAGCTTTTCCTCTGCCACAGCTCACAGGTTTCCCTCCGAACTACTGATCCCCAGACCCACAGAGTCACAGGGAGAGGTTAAACTCTTTCCCTCCTCTGGGGGTCTTTGACCAGCTCCCCCCAGACAAGGTCCCAAGGACGGTGTTACCCACAGTTGCAAACAGTAGGGTCACAGGCCAGTGCCCAGATGTCTCTGCAGTCAGTTTCCTGGATCTGGGCTGGACAGGGAGGAATGGGGGTCTGTGAGCAGGGGTGGGGCAGGTGTGGGGAACAGGTGGAGACAGAGCCCTGACTCTTTATTAAAGAGAAGCTACAAGTGCATTTAATGGGACAGCCCAGGGCCACAGGAGATCTGGGCAGGTGATAGAAGTGGACTGAAGGGGCAGATGCCATGCTGGCCCCACCCCTTTCTCTGCTGGAACTAGGGAAGAAGGCAGGGCTTGCCGGGATCAGGACTGAGAAGCTCATACTCTTCCAAGGGTTCTGCTGGTTTCTGGAGGAGGGAGGAGGCCCAGAGTATGAGGACAGCAGGGAAGACTTTCTCTGTGGGTGCATTCTGGGGGCTGGCCCCAAGCTACCTGGTCAGGTCAGGACCAGGTCCTACAGCTCCCTGAACCCTCAGAAGCCAATAGTAGATCATATCATGGTGATGAGTATGATCTCATAAGGCAGAGATGTTAACAATAGTGGCCCCTCTAGGACAGAACAGATGGAACACATTTCCAGGGGCCAACTCCCTCTTAACCTTTGGCCAGAGCCTCCTCATTTGAACAGAGAAGCAGCTGCCACCACTACTCCTACCCTCTGACTCTCTGGCAGAGCAAAATGTACAGAGGTGGAATCAAGAGCTGTGGGCATGAGCTGGTGCAGGGCTGAATGTTCCCCACAACCTTCCCAGGGGAAGTGGGTGAGCAAAGCCTCAGTATTGACTTTAGTACTCACCTGGGAGGGATTTGACCTTCAAACATTGCTGTCTCTGATAAAAACTCCACCCCTCCCAGCTGGGTACAGCTCACTGCAGCTCCATGGTCCTATCTCACAAGTGGCAGCCTGCCTAGGTCACTGGCTTCACACTACCCAGGAAGTGTCAGTATCCCTCCCCCCCCACCCACGCACAGCCCCTCTTCTCCCATAACACACCCTGAGTCCTTTCACCCAGCTAAGGATTGCCAGGCTGGGGCCAGGACAGTCTCCCCTCCCCAGTCTGGGCCTCATCACATCCTTCACACATGATCAGAACCCAGAGGGAGGGAGGCTGGCATGCCTATTTCCCTAAAACAGAAGAAGTGCTCTTCCAGAATGAGTCATCAGCTTACTCTAGCTCCAGGTGACCCCAATCCCTAACTCCAGAACCTCTCAAGGCACAGTGTGCCATTAAAGAACCAAGTCCTGGGCTAGAGGTATAGATCACTGGTAAAGTTCTTGTCTAACATGCACAAGGTCCTGGGTTCAATCCCCAGCACAGCAAAATAAAATAAAATTTTTTAAAAAGCTGTGCCCTGTCAGTGCTAGTCTAATGCCAGTCAGCAGGAGATTGCTCAACTGACCTGTCTGTGAGTAACACCCACAGCTAGCTCTAACCCTGATCCTGCCTGGCAAGAAGGGGGCCTCCCTGAGCTGAGATCTCCCTGTGATTCCCTTTGAAAGATACCAATACCTCTTCTCACTCTCCCTGACCCTTCTACCTACACAGAGCTTTCCACCTGTCCTGCTGAAAATGTGAGCAGAGCAAGGATATTGCCCCCATTAGACAGAATGAAAACTGGGGCCTGGAGATAGGAAGGCATTAAGACCAGGACAAGGACCTAGCACCTGACTTCCATTTCAGGGCCCTTTCCAGGCCACTTAACTGCCACCCTAGTGAGATCCTACATGAGTGAGAGGTCTGTATGACCTCTAAGCATCTACCAGCTGACTAGTCCCTTAGGCCTCAAGTCCTCAGGGCCCCAATAACATTCCCAGGGACTGAGGGATAGTTGCTCCTAATGAAGTTTGAGCTGAGGCTTCCAGTGTTGGTTTCAAAGTCTTAAAGTGTTGCCCAGCTAAAGGCTGTGGGACAAAAAGGAGGTGAGAAGGGACTCTGGGAGTCCCATGATGCACCTCTATCCACCTCTGACCTCCTATCTCTTTGCATGCCTTCATCCACTAGCCCCTACAGTAAAGAAGGTGACCCACAGCATCAAGTGCTAAGACAGCCAGGCATGATGGTTGCTATAGGGGTGGGGATGTGGCTCACTGGTTGAACACCCCTGGGTTCAAACCCGGGTACCAAAAAAAAAAAAAAATAATATTCACCCTGCCAAAATCCTTATGAAATTTGCCATTACTGTTAATGTAAAGTTACCTCCCTCAATTGGGCATACAAGGCCCTTTGCCAACTAGCCTCTGCCAGCCTTTAAGGCCTCCTTGTCCAATTTATTCCCAAACATTCTAACTACACAAACCGTATGTCTCCACTTGGTATGGGGCACAGAGAATTCAGAGGCCTCTCAGCAACTAGTCATGGGTTGCACTGGACACACACACACCCATGCATGCACATGCAGGTGTACATATAACCACATACATAATGCAAAATCCCACTCAGCTGCATGTGGTTTTCTACCAAACCACACATCAGAGCTTCCCCTCTGTACTTAAGAGAACAAATCTGTTTTATGGATCTCTAGAGAGATCAAGTGTGGTCATGTCACCATCCCCAAGCCCTTGAAGGGCAGCAGAGAAGGCAAAAGTATATTCCCTGACTCTGGTTGAGCTCTTGCTAGTCCCCAAGGTGTCTGAGCCCCAGAGGTTAACAAAGGATTACCAACCAGGTCCCAATCAGGTTCTCACCCTGCTTCTGTGGCAGACTTGCTATGCAGCCCCAGACAAGCCACCTTCTCTATTTCTCCAGCTATAAGACAAAAGAGGTTTGATAAGCTGACTCTAAAGGGCTGTCCAGACTCACTGCTGAACTCATGCCAAGTGCAGAGAATGGAGGAGTCTGTGAGGGCTGCAGAAAACCGAAGATGGGGCACTATTGGTGGATAAAACTTCCAGCCAGGGAAAGCTTCAGGGGATGGAAATGAAGTGAACACAAGGGCAGCAGGAATCTGAGCCAAGAGAGACAGAAGCCAAAAGTAAAAGGAGGGGCACATTTTAATGATCTATAGTCGACATTTATGGAACAAACTGTGAGTCCTATTGTGTACTCACCACTGGGGTTTACCTCATTTTGTCATCTAGACTGGTCAAACATCCTTTACCATCTCTGGAGTACTCAGTGAACAAATACAATGGGTTAAGCTCACAAACCAGTAAGGGACCCAATTCAGAGCCTGGCCTTCCCTACAAACTCAGGTACAGGGAGGGGGTCAAGGTAGACAAGGAAAGGCTCCAAGGAGACCCCACCCACATGCAAAGATCTCGGCAGGCATGGAGGCAGATGTGCATTAGCAGCAGCTGAGCTGTGCTGATTACCTGTGTGAGCACTCACAGGTGCAGTCCCATTCCTGGTATGCACACCAGCATTGTGTTCAAATGCCCACCATGCACATGCACAACAGGGACAAAACTGACAGGCCCTCAGGCCCTCCACACGCTCTTGCCTACAATTTGGTATCCTGTGCTAACACTCACACTCCCAAAGGCAAGGACTCAGTCTGGGAAAGGGCACATCTGAAGACAACATATCCCTGTGACCCTAGTCAGCAGGTAATCTACATCAGGACAGAAAAGAAAGGAACTCTTTCCCTTTTTCCTAAAGGAGGTCCCCAGAGCCCAGCTTCCCTTGTTCACCTCCCTCCCAATCCCCAGAGCCTGCTCTGTATAAGCCATATCCCCAAGTCTTGAACCTTCTGCTAGTTAGGCTGTCCAGAGTCTAAGTGGGAAAGGGAGGCTCTTCCCAGAAAGAGGGCATGCCATCTCTGGCCTAGAGCCCCTTACCCTCAGGACTGGGGAAAGACCCAGAGGAGCAGCCCCAGGCCTCACTGTTCTCTATGGCTTTTTATTCCTATGTGATTCTACTGCTCACTCATATAGGGATTGGAGCCGTGGCGCACGGTGAGGATAGCCAGCGAAGGGCTCCAATACTGAACAAGAAGGCCCGAAGGAAGCCAGGACAGTGGCACCTCCTTCTGCCAAGCCAGGCTGCCAGCCAGGCCAAGGGAACAATTCCACTGCTGCTCTCCTCCCTACTCACCTCTTTGCCCATCGACTCTAACAGGGGAAGGGGCTGCTGGACCCCTTCATTGCTCTGACCCACCCACCATCCCAGTCTTGAACACCATCACTGAAGGCTAGCACCAGGGCCTAAACTGTGTTCCCAGAGGAGTGGCTGAAGGACCTGGGGATGTTCAGCTTAGGAAAACGGGGCTGGCACAAGAAAATAAAGTCCAGTGTCCTGTGGGCTAGAGGAGCTCCTAGACAACAGAGGCCTAGGAGATAAGATAGATTTCAGCTCAACCAAAGCCAAGAGCATCCAAACACAGAAGAGATTTCTTGGTGGCAGGTAGTAAACATCCACCCCAGTGAGGCATACTTGCAGGAGCAGGACAGACTATGGCAAAGGATGCCACAGGGAATCATGGTTGAATGGGTGACAGTCCCTAGGCCTGTCCTCCCAGGGATCTCTGCTCGCCTACATCAAGGCTGTTGGGATCCAGGCTCAAACATAGAGTCCAGAAAGACAGGCAAGCCTCCTATTTATGTGAAAGAAGTCCTGAATGTGTCCAGATGAGAGGGGTATGGGAAACTCCGTCAGATCCTGGCACTGTGACTATAGCCATCCCACACTCCCTTCCCCAGCAGCTCCCTATGAGTCTGTACTGAGGGAAGATGCACTGAGAATCCAGTGGTCCTTTTATTTATTTGTTTTGGGTAACAGGGATTGAACTCAGGGAAACTTAACACTGAGCCACATCCCCAGCCCTTTTTTGTATTTTATTTATAGTCAGGGTCTCACTGAGTTACTTAGCGCCTCACTAAATTTCAGAGGCTGGCTTTGAACTCACAATCCTCCTGTCTCAGCCTCCGAGCCGCCAGGATTACAGGCATGCTCCACTGTGCCCAGCCAGTGTGGTCCTTTTTATTTTCAATCTCTCTAGCTTCACTCCACAGAAGGAGGGGGGTGAACAAAAAGACTGCTCAGGAGAGAACAACAAAGACAATAAACTGGCTAAGGGGCTTGTTCTATCCTCAGAGCTAATTGCTGTTATGACAGAAAGTAGGCCCTAAAGCCTGGTGAGGGCCTGGGGAGCAACTCTGGTATTCCCTAAGACCCCGCCCCAACGCCTCTTCTGGACTCTCAAACTATGACCGATGCTGTCACTGAGGCCGCAGAAACAGAAGGTGGGTGTCCATGACATTGGTTCCTGTTGGCCCTGTGTACAGCAGGTGTGCTCCATCTTGAAGGCGGCAGAAGAAGGTGTACGAGTCATTGTGGTCTAGGAAGGTAGCCACATCCAGGCCCTCAGCAGCAGCCTGGATGGTAAGCTCAGGCATGACCCAGGCCCCAGCAGCTTCTGTGGGCCCATCCTGCCCATCAGTGCCACCACTCAAAAACAACACATCAATAGGCCCCAGTGGCCATCTTCCTAACTCTGCTCCAACACGCAGGGCCAGTTCCTGGTTCCGTCCACCCTTGCCTGAGCCGTGCAGCTGCACCGTGGGCTCACCGCCAGCTAGCAAGCAGACTGGGCCCCTAGCCTCTGCCACAGCCTCCAGAACCTCCTCCAGCTTCAGATCTGGGAGCTGGAACTCAGCTGCCAGCTCATGGAGTTTTGCATCTTCCTCCACAGAAGCACCAGCTGTGGATGAGATGAGGCGGGCTCCAGCCACTCGGGCTAGCAGTCCATAGAACTGAGCCACACTTTTCACATCACCCTGTATGGCTGTGCTCAGGACCATGGCCCGGTAGCCCAGCACCTCAGCCTGCTTCTGAGCCTCAGCCAATGCCAGCATATTAGAGCCCATGATCACATTGAGGACATGACCACAGGTGTGTGGCCCACGGGGGTCAGAGTCAGCCCGAGAGAGCACAGTCTTCACAGAACGTGGCAGGGCAGCACGAAGGCCATAGCGATTGAGGATGTGCAGGCAATCTTGCACATTGTGGGCGCTGGCCACAGTGGGGCCACTGGCAATGACCTCCACAGGGTCCCCCACCACATCTGACAGGATCAGACTCACCACCTGTGGAAGGGCCACGGGGCAAGGGTCAATCCCACCTTCTTCTCATCCCAGAGAGCATAAGAACAAACTTCCCCTTAGGTATCCATCATCTGGTACACTTCCTTGATCACATCTAACAATTCTCAGGCAGGCTCACAGAACACCTGGCCTTAGGAACTCCCTCTAACCCTCTGGGGCCCCTCCCAGGCCTTCCCCCAGACTGATCCTGTAAACTCTCATACCAGGTCCTTGCCTGTATGCTCGTCTAGGCTTTCATGTCCCAGACACATGTAGGCAGTAGCCCAGAGCTGCCTAAGGAAGAAGCAACTCACGTACCTGGGCAGGATAGGCAGCCTGAGCCAGCCCTCCACCCTTCAGTTGTGACAAGGCCTTCCGCATGGTGTTCAGCTCCTGGATGGTGGCTCCATGGGCTGCCAGCAGCTTAGTGAGCATCTGCTTCTCCTCCAGTGTGATAGGTGGGATGGGGGCAGGCAGCAGAGCAGAGCCCCCACCTGCAGAGACACAGCCTCAGGCATAGGAGACATCCCAACCCAGGGAACCAGGCAAGCAGTGGTGGACAAGGCCACATGAGGGAAGTGATCTGGGAAGGTAGAGTTAGACTGCCCCATGAGGACAATTACCACACCCTAGCTACCAGATGTTGTCCCCTGCCATTCCCTAAGAACTTGGAACAGAGGTAAACAGCAGAAGACGAAGGAGAGAGTTGGAGACCTAGGTTTGAGCCCTGGTTGTCACTGGTGCAGACACCAACAACAGATCGAAAAGCTCTGCTGATATACCAGGTCCCTTGTTAGGTTCCCCCTCTGTACCCAATTATCATCACCCAACAATGTGAGTTGGTGGTAGGGAGGATCCTGCAGCTCAGGGAAGGACAGATAACTGGCCCAAGGCCAATCAGGAGGCTCCAGGTTCCTCACTGCCTCCTTTGCTCCCAACTCCACACACTCCTCCCTTGCTCCCAACTCCTAGATCATCCCCCTTGGCTGGGAGTTAATCAGATCAATCTCTCAAAGACCTGGTATTTGGAGCACCCTCCAGCCTGCTGTCCTGAGCTAACCTGAAATGAGCACAAGCAACAGGTCATCAGCTGTAAGTCCTTCAGCCAGCTGCTGGATGGCTAGTGCGGCCCGCAGTGCATCATGATCCGGTAAGTTGTTCTCTGCACCCTCAAATACTTGGACACGGCTGTGTGGTTTCAGCAACATCTCCCTGAAGAGGAATCAAATAGAAAGTAAGAGATGCAGGGGGCTCCTCTTATCTGATTTCTCAGCTGCATAGGTGAAGGGGCATGAACAAGGATGACCACCGACACCCATCCTGGAGCCAGACCAGACATAGGAAGAAAGGGAAGCTGGTGAGGAAGGGAAGTCTGAGCCCATGTATTCCCTTCCTCCAGATGGACAAAGGGGAGCAGCCCTCCATGCCTCCTTACTGCTTGCCGGCACATTCCATGGCAGCACGGATCCCCTTGGGAACGCTGATCACACCCTGCACAAGATGCTGGCCCAGTAGCTCCTCAGCTGCTGCTGCCATGCCCAGTACAGCCTTGCCAAAGCCCACTAGGTAGAGGTTTTGCCGCAGCTGAAAGCTCCGGTCCCGAACCTTCAGCGTTCTGCCATCAGGGTCCAAAGACAGTGCCTTTTGCAACATGGGACCTGGCTGCACGGCACCCACAGCACTCTCAAACAACTGTTGTGCGTGCTCTGCCAATGCCACACCACTGGCCAGCCGGGCCATTGGAGCCCCCCAGATGAGTTGACGCAAGGGGGCTCGAACCAGACAGGGCAGGACCTGAAGGGCTGCAGCCATGCCCCACTGCTCTCAGCACCACCTTGCATCCATGGCTGCCTGGGGGAAGAAAGCATATTGTGAGGCTAGAGGTGGGAGGCCCCCCCACAGCCACCCCTTTGAGGGCTTAGGGCCAGTGGGCCCTATAGCAGCTGCTGCAAGAATGAGCCTCTCATAGCTCAAGGGGACTTCCTCAATCCCACAGCTACCTGACCTCAGTCTCCTCCTTGGATCCCAGCCCACCACCCAGCCAAGTCCTCCTCTTCTGCAGACCATACACCAGGCTTCCGGACACTCTGTCCCAAGTCCAGAGTTCCTGTTGACTGGGCCCTTCTCCTAGATCATCCCCCTTGGCTGGGGTTAATCATTCACAGAAGGAGCAATTCCTACCAGAGGATTTCCACTCCCCCTTTTCTACCTCCAGCATTTCTAAGCCCTGGTCAAGGGGGTAACACCCACTTCTGGCACTCCAGCCTTGCTTCTTTACCATTTCTGCTGCCAGGAGGCTGTTGGTCACATCAACTGACCCTGAGCCCACTGACCTCCAGCCTGCTCTCTTTCATTAGCTCATGGGACTGGGCTGGGAAGCTTGGGAATGCAGGTCTGTGTGGGGAGGCTACATGTTCGTCAGTGCACTGATAGGCCAGGTTCAGAGTACATCCTCAAGGCATACAAGCTGAGGAATCCCAGCACTCAGGTAAGTCCAGCAAAGAAGACCAGGTACAAATCAGAAGTAAAGGCTAGCTCACAGTGATACTTAAGGAAGTCCCCAGACACTGCTTGAGGCCATGTACTATGGAACCCGATCTGCAGGAGAAGAAAAGATGCCCTTCTACCCACAAAGCTGGACAGACCCATCCCTGCCAAAAACACCCATTCTGGCTCTGACAGCAAAACAAGTCCTGAGTCACACCACTTGTAGCGGTGAAAGCCCAGTGGCTGAAGCAGGAAAAAGTCAGGTTCCTATCACTGAGCCCAAATATTCATTTTCCCCACTGGGCCCAGAAAGGCTTGAGGTGAAGGTCAGGGAGCAATAGAGGGGTTTTAGGACAATAAAACACCAAAGGGCTCATCTATAAAAAGACATCAATTTTTTTCATTTTTTTATTTTTTGGTGCTGGAGATTGAACTCAGGGCCTCTCACATGCTAAATATGCACTCTATCACTGAGCTACACTCCAATCCCTAAAAAATCATCTACTTTAATAAATAACTACCATTAATGCTGTAAGCTGATTATATCAGCAAGTGTGGAGGAGGGGAGTCAGCATTCCAGCTCTACCAACAGGTTTTGTGGGTAGCTGATGCACCTCCATTTCTCCCACTGGGACTCATTTGAAAAATGAGTTGAGGTGAGATTAAAATTAACATTTGGGCTGGGCACAGTGGTACACACCTGTAATCTAGTAGCAGGAGGATGGCAAGTTCAAAGCCAACCTCAGCAACTGAGCAAGACCCTATCTCAAAAAACAGGGGTTGTAGTTGTAGTTGTGGCTCAGTGGTAGAGAGCTTGCCTAGCATGTGAAAGGCACTGGGTTTGATCCTCAGCACCACATAAAAAAATAAATGAATAAAATAAAGATATAAAAAAAGTTGAGAGGCCTGGGTTGTGGCTCAGTGGAGTGCTGGCCTAATGTGTGAGGCACTGGGTTCGATCCTCACCACCACATAAAAATAAATAAATAAATAAAATAAAGGTAGTGTGTACATCTACAACTAAAAAAGATTTATTTTAAAATGTTTAAAAAATAAAACAAAAGGCTGGGGATGGCACCCCTAGGTTCAATCCCCCTTTTTTAAAAAAAAAAGGAGGGGGGGAGCTTTGGGTTGTGGCTCGCCCAGCACATGGGAGGCCCTGGGTTCGATCCTCAGCACTAGGTAAAAATAAATAAAATAAAGGTAGTGTGTACATCTACAACTAAAAAAGATTTATTTTAAAATGTTTAAAAAATAAAACAAAAGGCTGGGGATGGCACCCCTAGGTTCAATCCCCCTTTTTTAAAAAAAAAAGGAGGGGGGGAGCTTTGGGTTGTGGCTCGCCCAGCACATGGGAGGCCCTGGGTTCGATCCTCAGCACCACATAAAAAAGAAAGAAAGAAAGAGGAACGTATTGGGCCATCTACAACTAAATAAATAAATAAATAAATAGATTTTTTAAGGTAGAGGAGAGGTAGCGGGCTCGGCGTGGCCCAGTGATAGACAGCACCTGCCTAATAAGTGGGAAAGTCTTGAGTTTGATCCCAAGTGGTCTTGAAAAGTGCCTAACCCCTCAACACCCTCAGGCTTTCTGAAGCCATCCAATGTTAACACAGAGAACACAAAACACAAGTTTATTCCATACCCAAACAATGTGGCAATTTCCATACCTTTGTTACTTACGGTTACCTAGTTCTCAGCTTTTCCATAAATTAAGATTAACCCTGTTCCACTCCTGTGGTGAAAGGGAACACAAAGAGCACCTCCACAAGGACTCGGAAAAACGACCGGATTTCGCCAGGCCCTGGGGCTTGCCCATCATGCTGACTTTCATAGCCTGAGTGAACCATATAACTATTTTCCATGCGGACAAAGGCCGAAATGACCTCAATCTTTTTTTTTTTTTTTTAAAGAGAGAGTGAGAGAGGAGAGAGAGAGAGTGAGAGAATTTTTTATTTATTTTTTAGTTCTCGGCAGACACAACATCTTTGTTTGTACGTGGTGCTGAGGATCGAACCCGGGCCGCATGCATGCCAGGCTAGCGCGCTACCGCTTGAGCCACATCCCCAGCCCCGAAATGACCTCAATCTTGCTACTAAATACCAGAATCCAGGGCAGGGGAACGCTCAAGGCTAAATTTGCCAGATAAAATACAGGACGTCCCGTTAAATTTGAATTTCAGATAAGTAATATTGTAGAAAAGTGTCCCACATAGCTTATACTAAAAGTTATTAGTAATTTATCTGAGATTCAATTTCACTGGACATCCTGCATCTTTACTTGTCAAATCCTCCAATTCTACTCAGGATAACAGCATCGTAATCCCAGGAAGTTCTAGTACAAAATACAAAAAAAAAAAAACAGAACGATCAGCGTTGACTCCTCCCCGGCACCAGGTGGGACTGCCAATTCCGGTTTTCGCTGCCCGCAGATGACTCGGAAGTGACGTCATCCCTAAGTCGCGGCCCGGAGCCTTCACAAGGGAAATACCTGCTGTGTATGCCAGGTAGTGAAGCGAAGAATAAGGGCCAGCTACTGTAGACCTGCCCTCAACGACACTCGGGATTGCCTCGGAAGGTCATGTGTGCTCCGGCCGCAAGGACTTACCATTCCACAACTACGGGCCCAGCTTCCAGCGCTGGCGGCCGGAAGTACTCGCGGGTGAGCAGAACGGAGTCCGGAAGTGGGAATGAGGGACGTGTATTTGGTAAGGTTCCGACTCTGCTCGGACCGGATGCCCTGAAAAGGTGCTTGCGGGACACCAAGTCTTGGTCTCTGCCTTGAGTTCTCAATGGATTTCAGTTAAACGTCCCCTTTTTTTACCTTGTAGGATGTAACCAGTGATTAAATATATTCTAAACTCTTGTTAGGAGCCAGGTATCGAGCTGGGCAAATGAACAGAATCGCTACTTTCCCCCAACCCACCCCTTGGAGCCCCGCCCCTCCGATGGCTGTGATCCCACAACTCGTTGGCGTTTCCCCTGTGTAAAATGACGACTCTGCTTTCAAGGAAATAAGAAGGGAAAAAAAAAAAAAAAACAGTTTATCCTGAGTCAAATATGAATGACCATGGCCTGGGAACAGGGATTCAAATTACATTAAATTGGCATATGACCCTGTGAAAGAGGTAGTGTGAGCTACTGAGGATGGAGTACAGAGCCTCCCTAGTGGTAGACAGGCACACTACCGCTGAGCTTTATCCCTGGGCTTTTTTTTTTTTAATTTGTTATATATGACAGCAGAATGCATTATAATTCATATTACACATATAGAACACAATTTTTCATATCTCTGGTTGTACACAGAGTCACACCATTCTTGAATTCATGTACTTTATACATGTACATTAAAGCATTTTTGTCTTCATACATACATGTACATGTACAGGGTAGTGATGTCCATATCATTCCACCTTCTTTCCTACCCCCATTCCCCCTCCCTTCCCCTCCCTCCCCTTTGCCCTCTATAGAGTTCATCTAATCCTCCCATGCCCCCCACCCCAACCCCATTATGAATCAGCATCCTTATATCAGAGAAAATTCGGCATTTGGTGTTTTTTTTTTTAAATTGGCTAACTTCACTTAGCATTATATTCTCCAATTCCATCCATTTACCTGCAAATGCCATGATTTTATTCTCTTAATGCTGAATAATATTCCATTGTGTATAAATACCACATTTTCTTTATCCATTCATCTACTGAAGGGCATCTAGGTTGGTTCCACAGTTTAGTTATTGTGAATTGTGCTGTTATAAACATTACTGTGTCTGTGTCCCTGTAGTATTCTGTTTTTTAAGTCCTTTGGGTATAGACAGAGGAGTGGGATAGCTGGGTCAAATGGTGGTTCCATTCCCAGTTTTCCAAGGATTCTCCATATTGCTTTCTATATTGGCTGCACCAATTTGCAGTCCCACCAGATATGTATGAATGTGCCTTTTTCCCCACATCCTTGCCAACACTTTTTGTTTTTGTATTCATGATAGCTGCCATTCTGACTAGGGTGAGATGAAATCTTAGAGCAGTTTTGATTTGCATTTCTCTAATTGCTTTTTTTTTTTTTTTTGAGGAGGGTTATTAAACTCAGAAGCATTTAACCACTTGGCAACATCCCCACCCCTTTGTATTTTTGAGAGAGCATCTCACTAAGTTGCTTAGGTTCTCCCTAATTTGCCCAACTCAGCCTCCAACTTCCTGTCCTCCTGCCCTGCCTCCTGAGTACTTTATGGGTGTGCACCACCACTCCCAGCTCAGATTTTATCTTCTAGCAGTCTTAGCTTTAAGTTTGGTGGAAGCGGGCTGGGGATGTGGCTCTAGCGGTAGCGCTCGCCTGGCATGCGTGCAGCCCGGGTTCCATCCTCAGCACCACATACCAACAAAGATGTTGTGTCCGCGGAGAACTAAAAAATAAATATTAAAAATTCTCTCTCTCTCTCTCTCTCTCTCTCTCTCTCTCTCTCTCTCCTCTCTCACTCTCTAAAAAAAAAAAAAAAAAAAAAAGTTTGGTGGAAGCTAGAAATAATATATTCCAAAAAGTTTATTAGTTACAAGGATATTAGGTCAGATAAAAAGTTATGGTAAATGGCTAATAAAGAATTTAAAATAGCCCAAGATAATTTTGACTCTTGATGTACAACATTTCATCTCTCCACAATCACTATGTCCTACTCAGCCAAGATCAAGCAGTCTGAAGGATTTATTTTATTTTTCTTTTTTTTCCGGTACCGGGGATTGAACTCAGGGGCACTGGGCCGCTGAGTGACATCCCCAGCCTATTTTGTATTTTATTTAGAGACAGGGTTTCACAGAGTTGCTCAGCCTCCCAAGCTGCTGGGTTTATAGGCATGCACCATCATACCTGGCTGAAGGATCTTTAATATAGATGCAACTTCTCCAGAAAACTTCAGTTCACACCCCATAACCTCCATGGACCACCAAATACAAGTTTGGCTCAGCAAGAGACTGATGTTCCTTGATCTAATCCTCAAACAAACACACTGTGTGTATCACAAATGACCCTGGATCCTCCTCATTGCCCCTGCTCTTTCTCACCTGCCTTGAGCCTGGCTATCTGACTTCTCCCCACATTTGTTAAGTCAAGTCTTGACCATACTGCAAAAACACAAAAAAGAACACACTTTTTTACTGATGAAGATGAGGGAAGGAGTTGCATAACAAATTGCATGGCATATTTCCTTAAAATATTGAAACCTATTTATCTTTACCTGCTAAGCTTTGGCCATTGCTACATCTCTCCATAGTATAGTCATGAACTATACACACACACACACTTCCAGCTCTCTCCCTGTTTCTCTTTCCCTTTATAAAAGAGGACATTTTATTCCTTCTCCCAAATGGTTCCCCACTCCATCACCAAAATAAGAGAACTTCAGGAGGACCTACTCTTTTCAATGTGAGGGGAGACTGTAAATACTTTAAATTTCATAGTTTTTCCTTGTTTATAGTAAGCTGTCTTTATCCATCCATGCATGTATTCATTTCTCCATCATTCAACAGACATTTCCTCAGTGCCTTTATATGAACCAATTGCTGTAGCTACTAGGAAAAGTAAGAAGTAGTTCTGCTTTTCTGATTATATTTCTGCACTGCTATTGAGAGTTTAAATTTGTGTACCTCTCATTAGTGATAGAAACTCCCTTAAACAGACACCATTTACTGTGCCAGTTCTATTCTGTCACAGTGTAAGCAGGAGACTGTACCCATTTGTTAATTTCCCATTGCCATCTGAAGCTACTCCACAGATGCACTTTACAACAGCAAGGTTTCTGTGCTCACTGGACTGTGAGCTCCTGCAAGATAGTGACTTGATCTAATTCATATATGTATTTCTTCTTCCCTGCATTTGACCAGATATGAATAGAGCCTGGAATTTCTGTTTTCATTTTTTAAAATGAATTAACAGGTGAACAGGGGAAGGGTTCAGCTGAAAAGTGGAAAGGATTTCTCAAAAGGAAAAGAGGTAGTGGTGAGTGGAAGTAATGAAGCAACGGAATTTAGGACCAAGAAAACATGGCTTCTGGTGGGCATGATGACACACAACTATAATCCTAGTGGCTCAGGAAGCTGAGGCAGAAGGATCCCAGGTTCAAAGCTAGCCTCAGCAACTTGTGAGGTTGTAAGCAACCTAGCGAGACCCTGTCTCAATTTTTTAAAAAATAAATAAAAAGGTCTGGAGATATGGCTCAGTGGTTAAGCACCCTTGGGTTCAATTTCTGCTACCAAAAAAAAAGAAGGGAAAAGAAAACAAGGCTTCTCAGAACACTTGCACATAGCTTGATAGTAGGAATAAATATTTGACTACAGATTTTCTAGAGTGCACTTTGGCAATAAGTATCAATATAAAAAATGGGACAGGCAATTTCACTCCATGGAAATAATTGGGCATGTGGACAAAGATGGTATAGGAAAGATTTTTTCTTTGCCTTCTTAGGTTCTGCTACTGGGGCCCTGTAGATTAAACTGACCAAAAAAAAAAAAAAAGTAATAAGAGAAATGGGTTTATTTCATATGCACATGGAAAGCCTTGTTGAAATGAAATGAAAACTCCATAGGAATGGTAAGACTTGAGATCTTATATATTATTTATAACAAGGAATGATAATTTGTGGAGACTTAACAAAACTAAAAGGGACTTGAGCTTTTAGGATCAGTTAATTGTGGGACACTAAATATATGTGGAACACTGATGGAAGATAAGGTTTATTTTACTAAGGTTTGTTTGTACAGATTCATCTCTGAATCCACTGCCTGTCTCCAGTGCTAATCATGTTCTCTTCCTGCTGTGGGAGGATACCTTTCTCATGGGAAATTTATATCCTACTTTTAGGTTAAAAATGGGGAAGGCAGGAGGTCCTTCCAACATCTACTGTTTCCCAAATTTCTTCATCTCTAAATAAGTCTTATGCCAAAGTCACATGTTTTGAATAGTATAATCTGATCCCCTTCAATGGACATGAAGAGATATCCACTTAAGAGTTTTCATGAATGTAAAGCAATCTAAATAGATACTGATAAGAGAATTTATATAAAGAATTTATAGTATTTCTAAACAGACATTAAAAATAATAACCAGGGCTAGGGATGTGGCTCAAGCGGTAGGTAGCAAGCTCATCTGGCACGCGCGGGGCACTGGGTTTGATCCTCAGCACCACATAAAAATAAAATAAAGATGTTGTGTCCACCGAGAACTAAAAAATAAATAATAATAATAATAATAATAATAATAATAATAATAACCAACCATGGTGGCACATATGTTGTAATCCTGTCCAGAGGAAAGACAGGAGGATTGCAAGTTCGAGGCCAGCCTCAGGAACTAAGGGAGTCTCTAATCAACTTAGGGAGACCCTGTCTCAAATTTTTTTAATATTTATTTTTTAGCTTTAGGTGGATACAATATCTTTATTTTATTTTTATGTGGTGCTGAGGATCGAACCCAGTGCCTCACATATGCGAGGCGAGCACTCTACCACTTGAGCCACAACCCCAGCCCCCTTTTTTTTATTTTAAAAAGGGATGAGGATGTGGTTCAGTGATTAAGCAACCCTGGGTTCGATCTCTATTACCAAAAAATTAATTAATTAATTAATTAAATTTAAAAGTTAAAAAAGGACTAGGAATGGGTTTAGTGGTAAAATGCCCCTGGGTTAAATCCCCAGTC